TGTTGCTTCAATCCAAAAATAACATCACTCTATACAGTATTTCAGCCTTCCAGCTGAATTCATAGACATGAGCAGACTGGAGGAGAGACTGACAGGCAGAGCGACAGGCAGAAAGAGAAAACCACATAATCTCAGCTAAATTAATGAAAGCAGAGAGAGAATCCGAGAGTCGGTGGCTGCTTCCCTCCAAATGGCTCCTGCTCACAGACAGGAAATGAAGCCAGGCGAAGCCGCGGCTTGGCGACTGTTTACCCGGCAGCAGTGGGAGCCGTGTTCTTGGATCGGTTTCAACTTTTTGCCTAAAATGGTTGTTATTAGGATGGGGCTTTGGGCAGACTTATCCAGGATCAGCCCTGTCCAGCTGCCAGAGAGTCAGATCAAGCCAGCAGCAGTTCATCTGATAGAGTCGCTGCCTCAAACAGATGGACCGGAGGATGTATGGATGGATAAAGGGCGGGGTCGGGTGAGGGTTATGGTACATTGCATTACGGGTAATGCTGTAGACAGCACTTGCATCCAAAGAGATTCATGATGACAGTATGCATGTTTGCATAAATATGTGTACAGTTCATATGTAGCATGTACTGTAAGGATGGATAGATGTAGGGTTGCAGTGATAAGGATTAAATTCATAATCTAGTCGTGGATCAATTCGTTTTAAGGATTGTTCAATGAACAGTTTGATCAATAAAATGTCAGAAAGCTGTGACTATGCAGGATCGTGCTTACAGTGTAGTGTCTTCAAATTGTCCAACCATCTGTCCAAAAATATTCAAATCACAAAGAGAAGCAGGAAATCCTCAGTGTGGTCAGTCTGGAGAAGAGAAAATGAGGCGTTAAAGCTGCCAACACAACACTGCCGTATTATAATTATTAGATTAAAGATGCTAAAACAATGAGGAGTCAGGTGATAATTATCTATCAGTTTGTCACAACTAGGAACCCCTTCTCACATTACACAAAGTAATTTAATCCATATTTGATATAAAATGTTGATAATAGCGGCTTTAATTGATTGAAGTTCAAAAACTTGTGCAGTTTGGGCAAAATTTCATTTAATTTCCACAACAGAAATACGCATCAGTACAAACATGTCATTCATGTTCCATCAGCAGTTCATGTTCTTGATACTAATTTAAAAAAACTTAAACTTAGTCCCTTTGTCACAAGTTAACCAATATTGTTTAATAATTCAACTGATTTACAAATCACTGTGGGGAGTGATGGGATTTTGACTTCCTAAAAACAGCATGACAGAAAATCATTTATCATTAATAAGCAACGTTTAATAACTGTTTACGTTTTTAGAAGACACTATTGTACCACTTTACAATAGGACTATCCCTATAAAAGATTTATAAATGGTTTATAATTTGGTTATTAATTTGGTTGTTAACACTTTGTAAATCATAAATAAACAATTATAAACAAGATGCAGGCTCACTATTTGGCAAGATCATAAATAATCTTTGCCTCTAACTTCCGAGTCTGAATGTCAGTGCTCAAGAATAAGCAGATATACAGAGTAACTGTCCCACTGGTGTTTCTCTACTCAGTGTTTGGTTAAGTAAGTATATTCATGGTTTATCCATTATTCATGTAGGTGAGTCGACCAGTCAGAGCGACATTGCAACATGTTTGGAGCGGTTTGTTGTGTTGTGCTGCGGCAGGTTGTAGAGTTCAGTCCTTTAGTTCATTTATTTAGAAGCAAACAGAGATGGCACCAGACAACAACAACAACCACGCTGCGATGGCCGGAAAATTAAGAGGAATTTTAATCAGGTTTTTTGTTCCTTCTGCCAAAACGTCCAACTCTGAGGGACGACGGGTCGCCAAAACTCTGCGACCAGTAAACAAGCTACTGTATTTGTGGGTTCATGTGATATTTGTTTACCAGCCCCTGTTTGATTGCAGCTGGGCGCAGGGAACCTAAAATATACACCAAAGCCAACTTTTCCACTCAGAAAACCAACTATTAAGGATAATAACTGCAGAGCAGAGTGATGCATTCATGTTACACTGAGGGTTATGTAATTCTAAGCTCTCAGCTGGAAAAAAAAAATACTCAAGATATACCCTCTATTGTTAGATTGAAGTAGGAAATGTGGGTTATATTTTTACTAAGTATGTCACGACTCCTATTTGGCTTAACAAATGGTGTAAAAGTGTAGGCGACTGTTGGTTTCCTTTGGTCCTCGTGGGTTTTCATGAGCAGATCAAAATCCCTGAGGAGTCAAACGATTGGATGTAAACACAGTCGTAAGGAGATTTTATCAGAGTTCAAACTGAAAAAAACCCCCCCACCATTCACAAAGTTTATAACCCCAGAATTTCCCACTCCTGCTCGCTCAGTGTGCAGTCGAGTGTCTTCAGCTGGAGTTTGGGGGGTTGGTTTATTTCAACCCTCTCTTTCCCTTCAAATACTATCCCCCCCCCACCCGCCCACCCCACCCTCCCCCTCCGCACTTGCCACGGAGCGTCAGCTTGATTTCTCACAGCCTGTAGAGGATTTGGTTGTGGTATTGTGGTTGACACGCACAATAAAAATGAGTGACAGCTCACAGCGGCAGTCAAGTAGCAAATCAGTGTCAGTCGTGCTGCTCTGACTGACTGACATTTTCAGGTTTACAAAATGCTCCGGTTGCACAAAAGGGCCGGGTGGCTGAGGACAATGTGGGGGTTTCTGTGATTTGACAAATGCATGAATGATTTTTTTGGTGCAGTAAAACCAAATTAAGACGTAAATCTATCATTACCGAGAGGGATTTTGGATACGTATTTTTAAAGGCAAACAGAATTTCCTCTAATCTCTGCTCTCTCTCTCTCTCCCTTGCTGCCGGCTGAATTACTTTCTGTAAACATGTCCCTTTTGTTTAATTTGCTCAAGTATGTGAAATCTTTCCACCACTGTTTCACTCGATATTGGTCACCAGCTCTGCGGTTATTTATAATCTGTGGCTCGGAGCCTAGAGCTCCAAAAAAGCGCCTCACAAACGCTGCCACAATAGAGGACTCTCTGGTGCTGGATAATTGCTCGGCTAACACTTCAACTCCAAAGAGGAAACGTTTGGGAAAATCAAGTTTTCCCCAAACAAAATGTCTGGTAACCAGCCGGTTTTAGAGAGACTGCTGAAAATGGAGTCGTTACTATTCTCGGGTCTATTCTGTTACATTCACAAAAGCAGTTGCTAATGTAGAGTAGCTGCGGGGTAAAAGCATCGTGGAGCGTGTTTCACATTCACTGCCACATGATTTACTACCAGGATCCAAGAATTACTTGAACCATTCAATTCAGTTAATAATAATAATAATACTATTGATTTTTAACACCATTATTGTGCTTTGGCAGCAGCAGTGTGAGAATATCAAGCCAAACCCACTGGAATCGAGTCAAGAAAATAAGAACTGACATTATCTGTTGTCTTGTAATAGAGCATTTTTAGATGTAAACGGGCTCAGTCGACTTGACTCCTGATTAGATTTCTCTGATTTCCTGTTTGCGGTTCAGATGCGGTCAGTCTGGGTGTGTGTCGAGCTGATTTCCTCACAGCGAGCGCCACAAAGGGTTAAACAAAAAAACCTGATCTCTCCTGCTTGTTGTACATCCAGCATGATGTGAACCCGCTGCCCTCACTGAGCGTTTCTGGCTCAATACTGACACTTGGTGGTGAATCACTGTCACTGCAATGACTTGTGGGAAAACGAGACTATAAGATGCTGCTTGTTTGTAAAGCTTTAAAAAGGGAGATACGAAAGGTTCCTGTGTCCTCCTGCCTTTTTAAACATAAACATGTGAGCTGTAATTAAGAAAAAGAGAAGTGGGTGGATGTAAAAGAAAACAAACATGTTTACTTTCCCCCCTCCACCAGCAGTTTAAATTAAATTTGAATATATTGTCCGCTGTCTATAGGATAATCCTCTTTATGGTCAACTCATCTCGGCGGGCCTCACTCTTGGCTCGCCGCTCTCTGGATGAAGCGGCAGCAGAGAGAGCGAGTGTGCAGCACATGTGACTGAGGCCTCTAGATGGAAAGTGGTTGAGCACCACTCTAACACTATGGGGTTTCACCTGTGTGGGATTTTAAACAGCCAAACCAATGAAAACATCTGCTATAGAACAGATTTAAATCAGATCCTTTTCACGCTCCACATATACTATTACAGCTAAAACAAACATTTGAAACAAATATTATTATGAATTCATATGAATGTGATGAATTTAGAAAATGAGTTTCAGTCATCACTCACAAAACTTATGCTTCAAAATCCTCAAAGCAAACGACAGACTTTCCACAAGCTGGTTGATGGAGTGTTTGTTAATTAAATGTCAAGTTTTAATTGTTTCTGTTTGTTGATGTTCAGTTTGGTGTTGTAAGGTGCTGGAAATGTGGGAGGCATTCATTCTTTAAAACTAATTGACAGAAGTTCAGTCATTGTACAAACACAGTAAGTGTACAAAGAGAACTGAATTTAAAATTGAAAGTTTTACAGTTGTCATTGGTGTTCTTTGAAACAGGGCCACCAATGACTGGTAGATAACGCCCAGGCGTTAGCTGTTAGCTGCTGTTAGCTCTGCCGCTTCTGCTGCTCTCTGTCATGTGAGCGTCCTCAGTCAGGGCAGATGGGCTCTGATCTGCAGATAAAACTAAAATTAGATGATGGTGATTGGACGGCTAAAGGAGCAATCAAGCCAATCCTGCTGATTCTGTGTTTATTACATCTGAATGGACACATCGCTGAACATATAAAGACAACTAACCCGCACTCTCTCCTCTCCCGTGTCTAACCCCTTCTTCATTTATGGTTGGTTTTATTGATATGACTGCCACAAATTTCCATTATTACCAAAGCAGCCTGTATGACTGTGGTGAATACAACACAGGGATTGTTTCAATACGTTTTTAATGGCCTTTTTACAGCCACTGATCAAGAGCCGAAGACCATTATGGCCGCCTGAGCCATATAACCACACAATAACCATTTCTCTTCCACCCTCCCAGGTGGGCAGTCGGTGCCTCAGGACCCATCACCTTCCTCTACCTGCCCTCCAGGACCCCCCGGGCCTCCGGCGGCCGCCAACAGCAGCAGCGAAATTATGGTGAATTTCGACCCTGACCCGGCGGACCTGGCACTGTCCAGCGTTCCCGGCCAGGAGGCGTTTGACCCGCGGCGGCACCGCTTCAGCGAGGAGGAGCTGAAACCTCAGCCGATGATCAAGAAGGCCCGCAAGATGCTGGTCCCCGATGAGCAGAAGGTAATACATCTCCCACAATTCTTAGCTTTCCTAATGTCAAGTTTTATTTTTTCACCGTGGGAATGTGACTGATGTGAAGTGTAAACATGCCCACTGGCCGTTGGGTAAATAATAAGCTTTGCTTTTTGTGGTTTTAAAGACAGTGAGTTAAAGGTAAACACAGACACATATGTAGAAGCTGATATCATAAACATCTTAAAAAGATTTTTATAAACATGTTAAAAAGCTAAAAAATGATTAAGAATCAATTTTTACATTTTGTATGATGATTTAGAGAAACATGACTTTAATGGCCAGTGAGCAGAGTATTGCCTAGTTTTCACCCTCTTATACTTTATAGTTAAAGACAGTCAGTTCCTGTCCTGTACTTTGTTTTACTGTGAAAAGCTCAATACTATTCCACATTTTCTTTAGGAATTTTAGTCTCAAAGCAGCAAAAATATTTATATTGTCAAGTAATTTTTGTCTCTTGAGTTCTTAAAATCTTATTTTCTTCCAATAAAAAGAGAAACAAATCTGCCAGTAAAGTGAGAATATTTCAACTTTATTCTAGTAAAAATGAATCATTTTATAATATACCCTCCAAAAAACTTGTTGTTGTGGTTCCACTGCAGAAACCTGTGTTATTCTTTCTTCTTTCAAGATACTAAGTCTTATCTCCAGAACTGTGTTGAAATGAATGGATTTCAATTAGAAGCAGGGTTAAATATTCTAATAGCACTGGCAGATTGTGCTAATCATATCAAGACTAAATGCACAAAAAACAACATTGGATACAGTTTAAGTAAAAAAAAAAAAAAGTCACTCCTTAGATTAACTCTAAAAGTAGCATTTTAAAAATTCAGTCTACTAAAGAAGCAGGTCCAGTGAGCTACACCTCAGCTTTAAGGTTTCTGAAGATAAACACTATCACTTAAAAACCCATAACTTCATCGTGACAAAGGCTGGAGCTCTTTGACAGCTCCTGTTTCAATGTGGAAAAAAAAACCTAGAGGATCGTGATGCTCGCTGGTTTCGGTGCCTGCTGACGAGCCCGAAAATATTTTGCACTCAGCTCAGCTCAACGATCGGAGGAAGCTCTGATCAATGGCTGCTGCTTTCATAGTTCAGTGCAAAGCAGCTGCAGCTCCGGAGGCGTTTGTTATTTATGGAGAGACGGACCTTCAGTGTTCAGTAGTAGCTGGTTTTATAAATCATTTGTACGCTGGTTTTGGATAAATGATCTCTGACCGAGGCTGAAGATGAAGCTCGGATTACTCAGCAGCTCCTCGCAAACGAGTTTTAGATTCTGCTCCAAACTACACTGAGGAGTCTGATTTAAAAAACTAAAGATACTACAGGATCATAATATTACAGAGAATAGGATTTTTACATACATTTAAAAAACGATGCAAAAATAAAAAATGATTTTAAAACTGATTCCACTGGAATAAAATCGTCCAAAGAGAGGTTTTACTCTCAGACTGGATTCCCGTTTTGCACCTAAAGTCCAAAAGTTTAACACAACACCTCGGTTATTTCCAATCTCATGTTCTCATGAGACCGTCATCAGCCAACACATTTCTTTCATGCCCCAAAAAACAACGAGTAGAGTTTTGCGAGGCTGCAGGGGCTTGACTGCAGTGTATTTATTCATTCAGCTGAGCAGCTCAGCAGGGCAGGACTGTACAGCTGCATTAAGAAAGAGCCGCCTTTCATAAAGACGCATTAATACAGTTTTTAACTTGGATCATTACTCCCACTGTTGACCCATCTCACATTGATTCTCATTTGACGCAGGAAGTGTTGAATATAACACTTTTAATTGGATGTGTAGGTCTTTTGTAAACATGCAAACCTTTAGATTGTTAGAAAACTTTGGCGCCCGTCTCTTTGTGTCTTTGTGAGCTTTTAGTTGCTGGTGAAAGCCTCTGTGTGACTTACACAACAAAACACACAAGGATTGGTTCTGATATAAGGAAGTAACGGGTGAGGAGGAGTCCGTTATTTCCTACAAGAGAACATCTTGAAGTTTATTATTGCTCTCATACCATGGTCACCCACTATAGGCAAAAATAGGAAGAAGAGGTGTTGTTGTTGTTGTTGTTGTTGCTAACTGCAGTTTAAAGGTGTACACCACGAATACTATCTTATGAGTATCAAACACCCTCCCTCTGTTATCTTTGTCATTTGTGATCAATATAAGTAAGTGGCAGATGATAACTGTGCTACTTCAGTTAATGCGGCGCTCATGCCGCAACATATAGACCATAATTAAAAGCAGCAGAGTGGGGGAAACCATTAGCATCAGCCTCCTTCAACTCAGGATTAATGTGACCCAAAGATATCAGGAAGCGTGGCGTAATATCTGACACCTGACAAAAACAACTTCAGAAGTGTCGACCAACCTGCGGCTGCAAATCCACCGTCGCTGTCAGTTACATCTGAATAAATTCCTTTAGCTGTGTCGCAATCGAGGGGCCGGATCCTTGGGCGGAGGCGGACCGCAGAAGGTGTGGCCCTTCGTAGCTGTTTCGTGTAGACCGCCAAGGCCGAACCGAAATGAGGCGGATTGACCTATGGAGGATTTCTCGTCACCAGCTGTGCCCACCCTTACCGTTGTGTGGCAAAGCGCGGCTCCTGTCGCCTAGCAACCTTGACGACACAGAACTCTTTTTTTTTTTTTTCACAAAAACTTGACATCTTAAGGCCCTTTGTTTTAACAGTTGTACCGTGAGCTGTCGAACTGAGCTGAAACCAAATACTTACATCTAAAAGTGTAATCCTCGGGCTCTCTGTCGGAGTTGTTTCCTGCCATAACATTTTCATTACCGGTGCACAGTGAATCTTGGGATAGGTTGAGCCACGAAGGATCCACCCATTGGAGCCTTAGTGAATTGGGACACAGCTTATATTAACACCGAGGGAATCGATCGATACAATTAAAGCCAGTTGTTTGTATCTGGTTTCACCTGCTAACGAAGCCCTACACATACAACAAGATAGAAACAGCTAATTAAGGTTACATTTCCATGTATTTGGAGTGGCTGCAAACAGTGGAAATAACGATCTTAGAAAAATGTGTAAATTCTCCCAAGTCAGAATAACCGCTGGCAGCAAATTTGAGCAAAAATTAAGGTGTGAACATTAATAACTTGGATGCCAGCCAATCAGAAATGAGTATTGTCCATGGCCGTGGTATAAGAATGATAATAGTTTAGTCTTTTCATGCAGAGGCTGTCACAGTAAACTGTCATGGTTTTCATGTTCTGTAGTTGTGATTATTCAGCTGTCGCTACCTTTCCTCCTTTCCTACCATCCTTTCTCTCTCATCGCATAACTGACCCTTCTCATCCCACTCTCTCCTCTTTTTTTTTTTTCTCTCTCTCTCTCCTCCCCCCCACCTTCCTCCCCACACACCCCAACATACCACACCGCCGCCCCGGGGTGCCGTTGACAGGACGAGAAGTACTGGAACCGGCGCGTCAAGAACAACGAGGCGGCGAAGCGCTCGAGGGACGCCCGGCGGCTGAAGGAGAACCAGATCTCGGTGCGAGCCGCCTTCCTGGAGCGGGAGAACGCCGCCCTTCGCCAGGAAGTGGCCGACATGAGGAAAGAGCTGGGCCGCTGCAGGAACATCATCAACAAGTACGAGAGCAGGCACGGAGACTTGTGAGGCGGATGGAGGAGGAAGAGGAAGAAGAAGGCGAAAGAGGAAGGGGTGGGGAGGGGAAAGAGGTGATGAGAAAAGGGTACAAGGCAACCCAACAACAGCGGCACTTTAGTTGAAGTGGCGAGGGGGGAAGGCTGGCGTAGATCTGCAATAAGCGGCATGCGACACCGGGCGCAAACACAAAAAGTGTGTTCTAGTGTCCACTGTGCTTCAGGATGTCACGACAGGAAAGCACAGCGACGCCATTTTTATTTCTACCCCCCCCCCCCTCCCCAGTTTGACTCTTTGTACATGCTGCTTCGCTGAATCCACACAACGTACTGTATCACCACCTTGTGTCACTTCGGCAGCTTACGTCACCCTCGGTGCTGTGCTTACGCCCGGTGTCGCACGGCGTTTTTGCAGGTAGTGCGTCCTAGTGCTGCTCTGGCCAGTTCAAACAGGGTGTTGAATTCACATTATGCCAGTGAAATCTCACTTTTTAAGCTCAAGGCATGGACACAAGCCAGGGGAGGTCAGATGTGTAATTTTTTTCTATAAATAGGACAAAAAAAAAACATGTATATTTTTGAACTGGGCAGGAAGGCGAGACTAGTCCAGCAACGAGGGGGAGGAGGGGGAAGAGGAGGGGGAGGAGGAGAAGGAGCAGGGTTTTCGTCCATAACGCAAAGAGATTTTGACATAGGATTATTGTATATTTTTCTATTAGCAGAGATAGTCAGGAGGAGGATTTTGGAGATAATCTTTTGTATATTTTATATATGGGGCGGGGAGGGGCTGTTAGCTGGACAGTCACGGGGCCACACGAAACGCTTTTCCTCCCAGCTGTTTATCGCTAAACAACAAATAATCTATTTTCGATTTCACGGAGCAGGTTAGGCGGAGGTGGAGGCATAACAGAGAATGTATCATGGTTGAATCAGGTATTTCACACAGTGTGAGACGAGGCGAGGTATCTTAGTAACGATTGTTTTCGGTGTAGGGAGGGGGGGGGGCGGGTCGTTGGAGGAAGACGGTGAAACACAAATTGTATAGTTTTAAAGAAGTTTTTGTGTTCGTTTGTTTTTCTTTGTGGGCTCGTTCAAGCACTTGATTTGTTTTATCTTCTCTTTGTTTCCGTGTCTGATTTTTTTTTTTTTTTTTTTTAAATAATCGCAGGGCTTTTATTTTTGAAGATGAAGGAGAAAAAGAGAGAGAAAAACAGGAAGTAATTAGCCATCAGAACAGCTGGATGTGAGCAGATGTTTGAGAATAAATAAGGTGGAGAATTTCGCTGGCAGGTTTGCATTCGGTTGGGTGAACGTGCACTGCTCACACGTACACACTCAGACACACAAACTGTTAATAATAACACAGCATGGTTGCGGTCTTTCTCTCTCTGTTTACTCCTCAATTTGTCCAGGAAGTGCAAAAATGAAATGCTAACTGGTTTAGGGTTGATTTGCCCAGATTGAACAGTGACTGAAACCCTCAGCATGCAGACACACAACAAAACAAACACACACACATGCACAGTCCTCACCCAGGTTTTAACCCTTATCGTTGTTGTTGATGTTGTTATGGACTTTTATGGTGCTGATCTGATCCGATCCTTCACCTGACGCACACAAACACACACAAACCCATAATCACACACATGGAAACACACAAAATAAAACACTTCCACCATCTCAAACACAGTACTGAACTGCCTATACCCTTTCTTTGTCTTTAATTCCTTCCTTTTAGTTTATTTTTCTTTATTTTGTTGCATATTGTATTGATAAATCGTATATAGATTTACACACAAACACTTGTCTATACCTCTCCTTCAAACTTTACCCAATGAGAAACGAGAAATGCACCCTACTGCTACTGTACCATACAACTGTACTATTGAATATTAAACTATTCTCTCACTAGATATATATGTGTATATGATATATGCTTGAATTATGTGATTATAGTTGTAATATACATAATTGAATATATTACAGAAAAACCCATTGGAATCATTTTGTCAGTTTTTTCTCAGGTGTTTTTGTCTGAGGTATTAAATACACGTATTAAAAAAAACAAAAAAAAAAACACAAAAAAAGTCTTTGATCCAATCACAGAATTTGTGGTTTGATTTGTTTTGGGGGTTTTTTTTGGGGGGGGAGGGGTTTATTTTATTTTTCCTGTTACAAAGCTTTTCAGAGCCGTTATGATTCTCTTTTACCCCATTTTATTACCAAAATAGAAAACCGTCCGTTCGCTAAGCTCCACCCTCCTTAGTTACTGTTGCCATGCTTTTCAAGCTGCACATAGTAGGACTTTGTGGTTACTATGGTAACAGGAATTCCGAGTTTTTTTCTCCAACATTTGGCCCTAGTTTTCATACGGATTTCATATGTTGTTGGCACATTTTATTAGCTGCTCCATCGCTGTGTGCGAAATGGTAAACGTAAACTTGTTGACTCCTCCCTACTTGATAACCCCTCAACAGTTTACGATGTGAAAACCACATTCAAAATCCCATTGACATTTGTAGCTATACTAACTATGCTACAACAGTGGAACAGTGTCATGTGGCTCCGTTTGAAGTTTTTAATGTTTTTAGCGGCACTAAAACACCACTTCCCGTGAACCCAACATTAGCATGCTAAACGTCCCTGAGCGAGTCAAGGGGTTGGGTTAGCTCAGACAGAGACGACTGAGTGCTCTACATTATGCTCTACATCTGAGAGAGTGTGCCGGTGATTGGTATGGATTTGGACATAACCAGGTTACGCTTGCTCTTAAATATGCGTTTGATGGCTACGTTCATGATATCATGCAAATCCAATGCTGTGTAATGATGCTGAAAAGACTGAGGCAAACGGCAACTGTCACCGCCAGATCTGATCAGCTGTGGCTTGCTAGCTAATTAAGCTCCCATCATCATGGGAAAACACAGTCTCCGGCTGACACTCTAATGTTTCCGGTGACTTGCTTTTAAACAAGGTCCCCTTTTACAAAAAGTAGACATCCGCACCAGTTGATGATCCAGGTTGATCTAAATAAATTACATTGTTCTTTCATTGCAGTTTAAAGCTAATTATCCTGAGTATTTTACAAAATGCCATTCTTAGAGAAACATATGAGGTTAGAGAGGTTTTATTTCTGCTTCGTTACTTATCATTTATTAAGAAAATATTAAGTATTTTCAAACAAACCATTTTGTCATGCTAATATTATCAATACTTTTATGTCACGTAAACACCCCACACTCTTTAAATGAATTTATAAGATAAATAAGTTGAGAAATCCAACACTTGACAGACCACGTTACATTTACCTATGATTGGGCAGTCACTGTTTGGGGGAGGGGTTTAGTGAACGGTTAATTTAGCGCTATTGTGTCTTTATTTAGAGATGTCAACTAAATTTACAAGATTAAGTCCTTGTTACCTGCTACACAGTGATGGCTCCTGTTGTTGACACTCCTTTAAAACTCTTCTCATGCAACAGCTTGTTTTTCTTCAGGGGGAAGCTGTGATTCGACTCTCACGTAAATCCCGTTTTGATTCCCAAAAACAACTTTTTCTTGATTTCCCATGAGCCTGTAAGCTGTTGGCACTATCCACAGAGACTTACTGTACCTGAGCCCCAGGTGTATTATGGGAGCTGTAGTTCTATCCTTGATAAATATATATATTTTTTCTTTCTTCTTGTCTTTTCTTTTTTTGGGAATATGTTTAAACCCTGATACACAGACACAGACTTTTGAATTTAAATCCACGGAAGAAAAGTCTCAGAGCTTCTCACGCTTCTATCTTGTTGGAAGAAAGAAGCTGTGTGTGTTTTTCTTTCTTTGTTTTTGATATCTGAGGTTTTGGGATTTCTTCACAGACGTTTCAGAAACTTTTTGACAGTGCTATTTTTCTATGTAACTGTGTTGTTGAGCGTGTTACAACTTTTCCTGGAGGCCATTTGAGGCCCACTCTTCACATGGTGGCAGTGACAGTTTGCTGCTGTACGATAAAAACGGCATTGCGGGTAATAATGACAACAATAATAACGATGATAACAATAATGTACACAGCCTTGTTATTTCTCCTTCAACTTTGTGGATTCTCAGCTAACTTCTCCTTGTTGTGACTGACTGTTATGAACTACAAATCCCATGAGCGCAACACTCACCCCAACTCCTCACCAGTATTGTGTGCTGTCCACAGAGATGATGGCATATGTGGTCTGGCTTTTTTCCCCCCTCCAAACATCAATAAAGGCTTATCCTTACTCACAGACAGAGTTTTTCTGGTGTCTTGCTGTGTGACCTGAAGGTGTGTACCAATACTGTTGAAGTGTCGTTTACCTGCAGGTCCGTTAATGGCCACAAGAGGCAGGCTCTACAGGGAAAAAGGCCTATATTGAAGTCAGAAAAGTGCATAACAAAAACACCCCAAGCTAAAATAACACAGAAAAATGTATAAGTGAGATTCTCAACAGTTAATGACACTTATCCTAATGTGTGATTTGGTTTAAAACTGTATTATTCCATTTGGAACTATTAAGTTTAAAGAAATGGCATTTAAAAAGATAAGACTAAGGCCCTGTTCAGACCTAGCTTTATGATTAGTCTTCGCATGCGTCTCGCTGACCACTTGTGACTGGATCTCACTTCCCCGCTCTTTATGCAAATAAACACATATGCGTTGTTGTTTTAAGCCGGTCTGATGGTTCGGGGCAAAGGATGGGTTAAGTGACTGTACAGTTCTACAGTGAAATAAGGTTTTATCCATTTGAAATAGTAAAATATTTTTGGTTCGTTATGAAACTAATCAGACTGTGGCAGAGGCCGTCAGTGGAGTAGCTGGTCCTGTAATGTGGCCCAGGACGCATTTGCGTTCACGCTGCTAGAAGAATGTGACCACACGTGGTCCAGCCCACCCCTGAACGTTGGTCTGAGTGACCGGATCTCAGATGCATCTTCATTCTTGAGTGCGTTCAAAAACTGTCTACTTGTGATCGCATCAACACAGATGGATGTTAATACCAGGTCTGAACAGGACCTCATTTTTCTTGACAACAAATCCCCAGAAAAAAATACCACCAAAATCAACAATGAATGGATGCTGCTCACAAGTATCATCTTTCATCATCTAATTCCTCTGTGCCATAGAGCTCTGTTGTTGTCTAAAAACTATTACAAACACTTCACTGAGCCGCACTGTTGATGACATGTTCCTTCATTATCTCGAATACAAACACGCTAGTTTATTTTGACTCCACATACACCACCCTGATGCCCCAAATACTCACTAGAAAAAAACAACTGTGTATTAATCCACCGCTTCAAATAGTCCCCAACAAATGCACCATTTCCACTATTTCTGAGTAAAACTACAGTGACCAGCTGTTTTAGGAAATTACTGAGCTTTTCTTTTTTCTTTTTTTCTTTTTTTTTTTTTATATTTGTGATTCATATTTTCAAATTTACATCTTCAGTAGGAAGCAGTGAGGCTGGAGCTGAGAGCCACAGGCAGGGCAGGGAAGTCAGACAAAAACAGACTCACTAAAACAGTATCAGTTTTGGTCTTTTAAGGGAATTTTTGATAAGAGAGGAATATAGAATAATGTCAGGCTTATCCTTTATGAA